TTTGGCCGACAGCTAAGAGCTCGAAAAATGTTTCAGCACCCAACAGAAGATCTACTTTTTGCGAATTGTGGAAATCTGGATCCGCCAAATTAATATTTTTTGGTATTTTCCCGCCAGTAATGTTTACATTTCTGTCTGGATGGTTAGCTGAAATGGATTGCATTATCCAGAACTCTGCCGAAAATTCATAATTATTTAACCGCGATTTTACGAATGTATTTAATTTTGCCCTTACTTTTTTGCTAGCGTTTCCGATACCGATAACGTTCAAGCAGATGTTTTGGCGACGAATCCGCTACTTTTGCGCCAAATCCTCCGTCATAAAGTTGACCTGCGATCCCGAATCCAATAGTGCTCTTGCTGGTAAGTATTCTCCGGAGATGGATTTTACGTTGACGCTTTACACGTTTTTACGCGATCTGGCACACCTGGCGTGTGCATGGCCTGCGAGATCGACGGTTGAGGTGCAGTGTCGAACGATATGGGGTACTGATGTAGAAGCGTGTGATGAGAACGATTGCATACCCGGTACCGATCCGCTCTGCACTTCGAAACCGTATGACCCTTGCGCAAGCAATTTATGCATAAGGGATCCTATTTTGCAAACTCGAATAGTGGCTGTTTCTGGTTGGAAGTAACTAAGGCAGATTTCGTCGTCCTTTCTGGATTATGGTTTTTCCTCTGTTGGTTGGCGCTGGCAGCGGGTTTAGCTCTCGAACTCGAGGCTTCATCGGCTGATAGGTGCTGGTAACGCTTGTTGAGTAAGGCTTCGCATTCTCTCCATAGTGGCAGTTTATCGTAATCCAGTTGTTCTTCCCATTTAGATCTCGTAGCGGGGTCAATTTTCATCATAACCCAAGGACAGCAATGAGTCATAAACAGCCGACACTGTATCGGTCATCGTGCGTAATGCAAGCGCCGATGGCTTTGGAATATTTGGCAGCTCAAACAATTTTGATATTGTATCGAAAAATATTAAACATTTATTATCATATACCTTTTTAAGACTTACCAAGGCCTTCGGATAGTTTTCATCCGACATTTGGAAGGCCTTTACTGTTCCCAAAGCTTCCCCAGACAGACAATTAACTAAATGGTTGAATTTCTCAATATCTGGGATCGTGGGATCATTGTGAACTAGGCTCTCGAACAAGCTCATGAAATTTTTGAACTCCGAATATTGCCCTTTAAACTTTGGCAAATTCATTTTTGGGAGTCTTGAGCTGTGAGGCGCTACAAATGAGGTTTCGGCAAACGAGGTTTTGTTCTTCGCTAAAATTGATTTTATAATGGCTTTCGTTTCCACAATTATATCCTCTAACTCTCCACGGGTCATGTCCTCTTCATCTATTTCTTCAATTTTGGCTTGACATTTGATAAGTAGATTATCACTTTTTATTTTGGCTGTCATTGAATAAAAAATTTTAAAATTTCGCATAAAAAAGTAATCAAGATATGTCACTGTGGGTATAAGAAACATCTCTTAAATCTTTTTTAACTTAGTAGTATAGAAAGTCACTTAAATAAATGTAAAAATAGAAACGCAAATCAATGCAAGGATAATATTTTACATATCGTTACCTTAATTCACAAAGGTCCTAACCATCACATCTCTTTCTTTGTTTTAATAACTTAAGTTAGAATATGCCCACCGGGCTCAAAAAACGTTTTGTAATTTAGATGTTGCAGAGTGGTAGTACGTATCGCCGTCTCAGAAAACGGATGTCGAATGTTACAAAACACGGTTTTGAGAAAATTAATCCGAAACTGTACGGTAGATTTTGGTAATTTTTGAAGGAGACTTAGTTGGTGTTATTAGTTTTGATTTTCCATATTTTTAAATTTAATATCTCTTAACGTTAATAAGAAAATTGACTCTTCATTCCGTATACATTTGTCGTAAGTAGCGTTTACTCACCACTTTGTTTTGTCCATAGAACATACGACAATACTAAAGTATCTTTTCCAACGACGATGGTATAATTTGATGAAAAAAACAGACATATTTATTAAATAATGATTACTTATTAGAAAAAAACATACCAAAAACATATTCATGTAATTAATAAAAAAATCTGTACATCTCTTATGCTGTAAATATACGAACATACGTTTTCTTTATATAAAAACAAAAAACAATACTTAAGTTCAGTCTTTTGTCTTTTGTACATTTTTATTTCTTTTATTTCATTGGGGCTCAGTGCAAGCTAAAATTTTAAAATAAGTTAGTTTGATTTCCAATTTTAATTGTGTCGTTATAGTAGAGTAGCGATGGGCAGCAGGTGCTTGATGCGGGGTAAAAATTTAAAACCGAAAAGGTAAGCAATAGCCGTGTACGTGTATTAACCCATTTTATGCAATGTATATTGCCAAAGGCTATTATATTCACCTCTTTGTTTATAGAGGAACAATTTCTAGCTATATTTGTAGTATATTTATTAAAAATAATTCAACATCATGAAATTCCGACCAATTTAATTTTTTTGAAGTGAAACTTCTTTAGCGGCGGTTGGTTGGTTGGGAGTAAATTGCCAAATTCAGGGGAATTGCACTGGTGCAACGGAAATGATGCAACGGAAATGATTGGGGCTGAAACAAGTGCTTATTGAGTGTATGGTATTATTTAATTTGACAAAAACTTGCTAATAAAAGGTTAAAGAATAAAACCTAGAAAAAGACCAATACATGAAATAAGTGAAAGTGCGTATGTACATCGATAAAGAAAAGGATAAAGGCAAAGGTAAAAATAAAAACAAAAACAAAGATGAGTAAAGTTAAGGCAAAAATGAAGACTAAGGTAAATTTAAACACTTTACTTATATATATAAGGACAAAGGTGAAGGGGTATATGTGGATGAAGAAAATGATAAACATAAAAGTAAAAACAAAGATGAGGAAGGATACCGATAAAAGTAAAGACGAAAATAGGGGAAGAAAGATTAAAATAAAGGTAATTAAAGAAGAAAGGATAAAGAGAGAGACTCAATCTTGGAACTATTTTGCGATTTTAGATCATTTCGGGATTCTCGAGACTTATCGATAAAATAATCGAAATTTTTATCGGTTCTGTTATCGATATTTTTATCGATTTTGTTATCGAAATTTTTATTGATATTTTTATCAATTATGCTATTATTTTCGGAAGTTATCGATATAATCGATATTTTTATCGGTATTTTATCGATTTGTTATCGATTTTGTAATCGATATTTTTAACTATTTTGTTAGTGATATTTTTTTATCGATATTTATCGAGTTTGTTATCGATATTTACCGATTTTGTTATCGATACTTAGTGATTATGTAATCGATATTTATCGATTTTGTTACCGATATTTTCCGATTATGTTATCGATATTGTTCGATTTTGTTATCGATAGTTATCGTCTTTGTTATCGATATT